AAGGAGGCTTCCTATGTCCATGCAATGTATACAGCACATTATGGAAGATGTGGTCCAGTCCTGTTGTCCCTTCCCTGTAGATGGACACAAACCTGAGCTATCCGGACTGCAGTTCCAGCAAAGCATTATCCCTGCACACTCCAATAAATATTCCTCCTTTTAGTCTGAAAWGTTGCAATGCTTAGTAAAGGGATTCACTTTTGCTAGCACTAAGAAGGAGCTACTTTTCTCTCCCAAATCATTTACCCAAGTAATCTCCTTCATCAAGTTGAGGAAAGCTGGGCAGCTTTCATGGAATGTGATAGGACCCAAAAAGAGTGGAATTGGATTTCTGGGTCTAGTTTATAAGAAAACTACCTTTTATTTGGAAAAATTCCAAGTATTTCCATAGGCTTGATATATACTCTCTTCCTATATATGTATTCTGCATATACAAGGAATTCTGATGGGTACAGGTGAAAAATGAGAGTGATTCCAGCCATGACTTGACCATTTAAAAATGAGTACATCTCTTGCAGAGACCCTTGGTTACTGCCTCCATTTATTTTTCATCCTGTGTCATTGCTAAATCACCCAGTGATGGCCAGGGCTAAAAGACTGAACCCCACCCATGGGATGGACCATGAAGCCAAGGTAGGAACCCCCCCAAATCCCTCAAATTTTTTTGATTGCAAGGTAGTGATTTCTCTTTGGCAATAGAGAGGGTGGAAAGGACCTCCTCTTCTCGTTAAAGGGATAAAATACAGTGCAATATTTGTAATGACAGAGTTTGAACAAGCCAAGAAGAAGTTAGAACAAATCCAATCACTGAATCATTGCAAAGCACCTCCAAGAAGATGTGAATAGCAGCTAATGAAATATTCAATACAAAGAGAAGTAGATTACATGGCTGTGAATAATTGGACTGAGTCTATGCGTAGCTTAGTAGCTAAAGGGTCCTCGTTACACATGATTAAGTAATTAATTTTTTGTGTGTGCATAATTACCATGATTGCACAATTAGAGAGGAGCCCAGTCCAAAGCTCCAGATGATYGTGGTCTGTAGAGGTCTTGCAGATCCTGGAGCTTCCTGGTCCTGGCCAAGTGGGACCTTGTGGCTTCTCTGATGTCTTAAGGTCAATGTCTTGTAGGTATCCACAGCTCTACTGAGCCATCCTGGATCAAAATTTTTGTCTGTTCAGCTCCCAAAGCAGCTCAGCATGAGGAATAAGTGTCCAGRGCAGGAACAGAAGTGGGACTGTGCATTTGGGCAGCTGCCAGCTCTTTGATTACCTTAGCCATCTCACAAAAAATCACACCCTAATGAAAGGCATCCAAGGAGCCAGAAAGTGCAGTGTTCTGCGTATTTTAAAAATGTAGGCATTGCATATGGGCCAAARAAAAAAGACTAAATAGAGTTTGTATGGATTAAAAAGACCTATGAAATTAGAGGGCAATTAAAACCAAAGGGAAATGTTTCCAAAATAGGAATGTAAAATTTCTCAGAGATTAATTTTGAAAGAGCGGATTTGATTTCAGCACTGATCCGGATCAAAGCAGAAGATACCCACTTTAGAAAATACACATGTAACTCGTGACCACTTTTTTATTTTTTAACTGAGCAAAATATTTCAGATCAAACAAATTGATTTCTTTTCTTTTTTCATATAAAAATGCAAATTCATATTTCACTTAATATCTCCCCCTCTCATTCCCAGTTTTTCACCTTGCCACAAGCTAGAATATTTACTGTTTATTAAGAAATGCTAATAAATCTCASTATCTTCATAGCTTCTGCATTGCTAATATCCCCCCTCCTCCTCCTCSTCSTCCTCCCTAATTCATCAGCTGCTGCCCTCTGATTCCTGCTGCCTTTCATGTCTCTCTCAATTTAGCCTTTCTTCCCCTATTATTCCCCCCATTCAAATTCCTCCCGTTCTCCCAAATAATCGTATTACCAGCCATCGTATTGCCCTACCTTTTGGGCAATGATTTCCTACCTTTCTCACTAACCCTCTAACGTAAATGGGCCATCATGCAAAATCTGCAGGAGGAGTTTTGCCCACGGGAGGCACTGGCTGCATTAACATCGATTAATGCTGCAAAAGTCCTCATGTGACAGGTTATTTCCATTTAATGAGTTAGCAGCCGAAGGAGCTTGGTGGCTGGGGACAGCCCTCAGACAAAGCCGCTGAGCATCAGCAGACCTGCCTGGTGGTCTGAAGCAAGGGGAGATGCAAACAGGATTTGAGACCCTTGGTATAAAGCGGGCAAAACTGCTGGAGTTTTGTGTGTATGGGTGATTTTTAATTTGCATGATTTTTTTTCCTTTTTTTTTTTCTTTTTGTTTGTTTTTCCCAGTAACCTTGTTTCTCCAAGACTCTTAAAAAATCCTGACCTGAATTATTTAACCTCCATTCATTCCCTCTTTCCTTCACTGTCTTTCCCCTTTTGCCTCCTTTGCAGATCTGTTTATTACCCATTCTGTCATTCCAGTCACTTAATTTCTCCTTCCGCTCTCATACATCTTTCATAGTTTACCTCTCTGTGCTCTGACGAGGGGCAAGATTTCCTATTTGGTGGCAATCAGTTTTTGTGACATATCTGGGTTACTGTCAGGACGCCTGTCTGTGTAAAAAATCTTTCATTTTTTATGAATCAGCTTTAATAATTTATCCCCCATCAATGATTTATAATGAAACCACCGTCCTGAAATGGCTTTTCTATGTCGAGGTAATGGAAGAGAGGTGGGCTGGAAAGTTGTATTCCCACGTGGTATTTTGATGTAAGAGAAGTCACAAATAGCTGAAAAGACCTATAGAAACTCTATAGTTCAGAGTCTGGTTCAGAACTGAAAGGGATGGAGTTGCTTCTCCCTTGTCTATAGTGGAAAAAKTCAGGAATCAAGTGCATTGAGTCATGATATTCTCACTGGTGATACCAGATTTTGGCTTAGAACTGACAGGCATTAATCTAGACCATCAAAAATATCAAGAATGGAAAAGACCTTTCCATMGAGTCATAGCATCACATCTCAAGATGCTTCGGATGTAGCTGAGATTTATGGACTCACCGTATCAGTAATTAACAGTGGTAGTAGGAGAGYTSATGTAGCTCTGGTGCTCTAGGGATSTYGACAAGGAAAGACTGGGAGAACAGGCCACCTAAGACAACTTGGAAAGAAGAAGCACCCATTTTCAGAGAGAAAYCAAAGTGTGAGGGCCAAATCTCGCTGCAAAAGGGACTCAGACCCAGGCTTGGCAGCTGGATCCATCCCTCAGGAGGGCTGCATTCARAGYAGAAACATCAAACACCTCAAATATTTAAARYTTTTATCTCACWTATCCTACATTCATGAGTTRTTAAAATAATTAGAGTTGATATTGGCTTGTTTTATGTGATTTCATCCTTTGKGCTCCAGTCATTTTTTTAAGCTTTCCTCTGCRATCACGTTCTTTTTAGCACATGGAAGCAGAGGTATTTATCAATCCGACTGAGYCCAGCAACTGAAAAAATAAAGGATTCCTTAAAAATAATTTCTCAATTTGCCCTAAGAGAAAAACATAAAAGAATACTTTTACATGGAAGTAAAAGCAAAAGGAATRCCTCTTTTATGCCTGATTCCTTAGTATTTATTATCTGAATATTTTAATCTTCATTGAAGTCATTAAGTAAAGCAACTCGAGGAAACATAATTGATTTTCCTCTGTCCTCTGTGGAGTGCATTTCTGGTTTACTATCCTTGCATATATTTTTAAAAGATAAAGATGAATATATGTTCCTGATACATAAAACTACAAAAACTCAACTTCCAGAACAGCAGTTTTTCCAAAGGTGAGCTATTTTTATATTAGTCATGAAGGTATTACACAGGACACTTCTGATATCCATAACAGTCCATCAGGAATTACCGTGATTATGAAAAAAAAAAAAAAAAGCTCAATTCTTAATTCATATCTAGCAGAAATATGATAAAGCAATTATTTAATCCTGGAAAAAAAAGCAGTAGCAAAAACAAACAAATAGAGCATCTCAAAACAAAGCAAAATAATAAAAAACTAGCACAGCTCATGGCAAGATGGGTGCATTTCGGGAGGAAAATTTCTGCAGAAATCCCTTTAAACTTTAATGATCCTTATATCTTGTTACAGAAGATGGGAAAGAGGTGGAATTGTCTTCTCTGGGTCAAATAAACCATTCA